TAACAGAAACATTTTATACATTTGTAATTATTCACAATACAAAAAGTAATAAAAAAATTAATCTGATTATATTATAATTAAACTCTTTAGCAAATATACTCAATTTAACACATGTAATATGGAATACTATACCAATAAATGACTGAGAATTAACTAGTTCTATTTTTTGAGACTATAGAGACTGTGATTGGTACTGGGTATGAGTATCACAGTTATTAATTATTATGTATTTTAACTGAAGTATTTAAATCTAAAACATAGGGGAGTTTTATAATAATATTGTAAATATTTTGTTATTACTGATTAATACTATATACCACACAGAAATTGTATTATTTACCGAGTGAAACTATTATAGTTTTAACAGGTTTATATAAGATACACCAGAATAAGTTTTATAAAAAATTAATATCCACTAGTTTAAGTATAGAGTGAGAAGTGGTAGAGCCATCCCCTCTTTCCATGGGTCTATGATTAATCTATAGTGAGAACCTTGTCCAAAGTAAAATCCTACAAATGCTGCTGTTTGTGTCTTGTATGATTTGTCTCATTCGTGTGTGATTTTATAGAAAAATTATAGAACTAGTATTAAAACTGTGTACCTATCAATATCTTTCATTGTATGCAAAAGAATTTCAGGATATAACCGAATCATTCCACCATATTATTAATATTTATTCAATGTTCACATAAGTAATGAAAATACATGATAACTGATATTTATTTAATTTTTGATTTTAACCATAATATTGTTAAACTATTATACTTTTGTTTTTACATATTCTTACACAACCAAATAATGATTATTATTTGTAAATGTATACTAAGTTCTATAATATGCAATATTATTTCTTTTTGTATCATCAAATATTTTACTTTCCCTCCACAAAAAGATCAAGGAGTATTCTTGAGTAATGATCTTTTCCAATATGCTATATGTGTTATATTAATTTGTTACATATTTTTATATTAATTAAGATTTGTTTTATTTAGATTTGTCACCAAAAGAGTAAATTGGATAGTATATAGGTTCAAGATGATGACTAGTGATGAATGTGCAAGCATTGTGCAGAAGGGGAGTTCAAAGAGGAAGCGCAATCACAATGTTGCAGAACGCCAAAGACGTGACACCATCAAAGACTGCTTTCAAATTATCAAAGATTCAATTCCGCCAGTACACGGTAATAAAGTTGTTACCCGTGCACAGATACTATCAAATACAATAGAATACATAAAACTTATGAAAATCAAAAATGATAGACACCGACAAGACATTAATGATGTGAAACGGCAGAATTCTTTGTTGGAAGCTCAGATCAAACAGTTGGAAAGAGTTGAAGCTACTGGCAATTATGCTATGCAGTATAGTAATAATTTAGCTGTATGCGTATCAGAACCATACAGTAATGATGAATCAGAAGAACAACTTAAAATACCTAAATCAAGACTAAAGAAGAAGAAAAAGTTTGAAGGTCAGATTTAAATGTGTACTAAATTGAGTGGCATATATTAAATGTCTAATATTTTGGTACATATTCATACATTTTATACATTTTTTAATTTACATTTTATGAAAATTGTGATATTGTTTGTTCTGTATTTTTTTGTATAAAAATAACAATGATTCGAAAATATTTTTAAGTGTTGGATGAAAAAATAATAGAACTCTGAAATTAGATTTGTAATAAATATAAAACAAATACTTCAATTTTGGGTTAGGTTAGGTTTTCAGATATGAATTTATTTCATGTAAATTTGTTATTATATTACATAATAGATCAACCATATTATATACTTACAATACTCGTATTGCTTACAACTCTTAAAATTGGTATAATTTTTGTTTTTTGGGACAAAAGTTCTTATGTGTTGAGATCACCAGCTAGTTTTGTAATATTTTTTTTTTTGCATATAGGTACCTAAATAAAGATTCTATTGAACATATTTTTGTTCATAACTAATATTATTTGTACTTATAATTACAAAATAAAATACTTGAATTGTAGGCGTAACAGTTTTTTGTAACCATTGTTATTTTGAATTATATCTAAGTTTTCATATTATGTAATAATTAACATTAAAATATAATTGGTATATTAAGCTATAAATATTATTTTACTTCTGAAATTGACAATTTTATCACATTTATAATTCCAGAAATACTAAAATACCTATACATTAATGATTGTACAAACCCATAAACCTAAGCATAATACTTGAAAATTATTATAAAATATAAAAACATTGTAATACCAATATATTTTTAATTGGCATAGTTATTTCGTAAAATCATATTCCATTACATGTCACATAATATAGAAGAATTTAATCAAGTGCTAAAATCAGTAAAAATATGCAATACATACGTTTTACACATATTTTTTTGTATCATATTTTTGACTAAATTCTGATAGTATAATTAATATAAGTTTTAACTTTTTTAGATTATAGGAGTTACCAATATACGGTGTTGTAGCTAAACATAGATATATGAGGCTATAAATTAAACTTATTGCCTACATATCTGTTGAAAGTGTTTGAGTCATTAATTATTCAATTACATTGTTTATATTGAATAAAACTATATTCAGACTTTAAAATACCTACAATTTGAGCATCAATTCTTTTTAATGATATTTAAATATATACTTGACTTTCATGCTGAAATTATCTGTTTTGGATTGGATGTTCTTTTAAAAAATTTAATTTAAATTCTGTATGTAGTGTGTTATAACCAGGATTCATTTTCAAAGAGATGTTTTCAATTTCAGAAAAAAAAAACCTACACGGTCACTGAAAATGTCAATAACACGAAATCAATTTTCTCATAATGATAAGGTACATATGAGTTATTAATAAAAGTAATTAAGATCGTATAAAACAAAATAATATATTAACTATAGAAATTGGCTAGAGATATTATGTATCCACACTTCATTTCAGCTTATTGTTTGTCATTGTCAGCCAGTATATATTTAAGAATTGATGCTGAAATTGTAGGTATTTTAAAGTCTGAATATAGTTTTATTCAATATAAACAATGTAATTGAATAATTTATGACTCAAACACTTTCGACAGACATGTAGGCTATAAGTTTAATTTATAGCCATATATTTCTATGTTTAGCTACAACACTGTATATAAAACAACAATAACATAATATATATTTTAATAATTAATAATGCACATGTTAATATTAGCATTTTTTCAATAGGAGTGACGGATGTAAACGTTTTAGTGGTTCAGAGAATAAAAAGTGGGCCAAAGATAAAGAATATAAAGAGAGTAAGATTCTAAATAAAATACCTAAACTAAGTACTTTCTTTAAACCTGCTACAAGGTCTTCTTTGAATGCATCTGATAATGGTCAACAACATGATTTAGAAAAGATGAAAACGACTATGTGCGAATCGAATTTTATAATTAATAATTTAACAACTTCTACTTTAAATATGGATTCAATATGGATTTAAGAGTAATAAATACTACATTTTTTTTCTTGGGATAGGGGTGGCATATTTAAAAGAGCCTAGGGTGGCACCTGCTCTAAATCCGGCACTGTGTACAAGTATAAATGCATGTACATATTAAAATTTAAAATAAATCATTATATTCAATTTAATTAAGTTTTAAAATTTACTTTTTTCAAGTAGAATTTATGAATAATCTGCATAGGCATAAAATACTTAAAATGGCAAAGTTTTAAATGTTATAATTATAAATTACAACTTTGAAACTGAGTCCCACCGGCAAATTGACAAATTCTGATAGCATCATTTTACTTAACTCGTTGAAATAAAAAAAATAACCCGCTAGCCAAAATGTGTTCTAATGCTGTATTTCAATATATTTGTGCAATATTTCACTAGTAAGATTAAAGTTTATTACAAAGTAATATGATCTTAGTCATGTATAGCTACCATAGAGGTTTTGAGTTGTTATGTGTGGTTTCTATAAAATATTTGTTAGTACCTATAAATATTATTTCTATTTTTAGAAATACATAGTAATATATTCGTAGTTAAATAAGTACTTAAATATACTTAGCAAGTTTAAAAAAGTCATGGGTAGGATACACCTACACCCCCCCCCCCCCCACATGTAATTATGCTACTAAATCATTTGTAATATTGCTCAAAATGTGTTATGTTAGCCTATGATGTTTTATAAATAACTTATAAAAAAGGGTCGGGCTAATCCAAGGTAATTGCATAATTAAAGAAACAATTTTGATGGGAGGAGTGTAATTTCCATGTTTTTATTTTTTTGATGATAATACTCAATAGTTTGTAATTATCAAATAAAAATGAACAAAAATCTCTACGAAAGAATATTTATTCATATTTTGGATAGGCTGAAAAATTGTTAATGAACAAATTAAAAAAACCCCAAAAAACTACGTATATAAATACATTACTTCAATGTCTGGTAAAATTTGGTGAGGCTACTGTTTACACTGTTTCGTAAGTTAATATTGCTCAAGACTATTTACATGAATAAATTAACGGTGCTGTGGTTGCTCTTTTAAATTCCAATTTTTTTCAAATGTTAACTATATAAAACCCTTTAAAAAGTGGGTATCTGTCATCCTGTTTTTGAAAAAGATAAACTTTTTAGTGAACATTATATTAATAAGATACATAAATTACTTTCAAAATCACAGGCTAGCATAAAATGCATCATTGCAATAATAAAACAATAACAAATTTAACCAAGGGATCAATTATTTTAAATTATTTTATTTAAATATATTTAAATTTTAAACTTAAGACAAGATTTTAGAGGTACCCTCATTATATTTGTGATGCGTTATATGCATTATTTGTGTCGCTCATCTAAGTACAGTGTTTATTAATAAAAATATTTAAGGTGAACATTTAAAATCAAGTCTATACAATTTTGATAATAAACATAAAGATGAAAAAATAAGAAAGTATAAAATGTTACTATTGTATTTTAAATGACTGGTGAAAAAAAATGTATTAAAAAAAGTAAGCAATTGGTTTGAGAAAACATTTAATGTCATCATAAAAGTATAAATCAATAAATTATAAATTTTAATTAAAGAATGGTAGTAATAAACAATTTTTGGCCAAACTCCCAATATTGTAATTAATATATATGGTAAGTAAAATAAGTAAAATATTAATCTAAATGCATAACAATCATTAATATCAAACATATAGTCAAAATACTGTACTGATATGTTAATAAATAACAAAACTAGGTTAGGCAGGCAAGAGATCTAAATCGTCGCTGACTGGAACTATCGGTACATGCTCTTCATCAATATTGGGTTCAGAGCTATAGGCACATAACCGTAATTCCTTTAACTTCCATCCCCAGTCCATTTTCTGTACAGCGTGTAAACTCTCTGCCTCATTATGATGTCTCAGTAACAATGATTCCTTTAGTGATCATAGAATATTTAAATATTTTTTTATATATACCTAGTTATAATTTTTGAAATTATTACCTTTATCTTTTCCCATTTATCATCTACATCTTGTAGCCATGACAACAAAAGGCGACCATTGTAACGCGATCGTGTAGGTTTATCTTTCTTTTTTTCTTCCTCGGGTGTCATAATGTTATAAACTTCATTGTCCTTGAGTATAGTACATACAGAAAATGGTAAAATCTGATTAGCTAATGCACGAGCTGAGCGTCCATGAACCCTGAGTATCTCTTGTTCAACACTCAAGACCAATTTTTCTTTTTCTACTATATGCTAAACAAAATATGAAATATTAGTAGTTATTATATTATATACATTTTTTTTTTTTAAGGCCTACTTATACAAACCTGTACATGAAGTCTTTGTCTCTCTTTATCTTGTTCAATAAAAAGCTTTTTCAACTGCTTGTGCAAATTGGCTGGCATTGGGGATTGTGTATTTACGACACGGCTATTGCAGTTACCAGCCAAAATATAAGTACGCTTGTTCATCAGATAGTCTTTAAATCCAGAAGGTGGTTTTGGTTTTACAGGACACAAATTTTTATGTCTCTTATCAATCTAAAAAAAAAAAAAGTAGCAATACTAACATATTAAAACAAAAACAGCAATCAAATAAATTATTATTTAACAAATTTACTTGTTTTCTAATGTCTAAAAACATTTGATAGCAATTGGTAACCGGAGCAGGTTCACTGGTTGTGCCAGACGGATTAGTTCCCACAGTAATATTAGCATTAGATGAATTGCAAGTCTTGGATTCATTACATCTAGATTTCAATTTACGTCGTCTAGGATGTAGTTCCTTCCCTGATAGTTCAGCCGTTGCAACAGAATCAGACGCTGTAATTACAGTAGCTGCGGCAGAAGTAGTTACCTGTTTGTCATCTTCAGAAATAATTGCCGATACATTTTCAGTCTGTTCTGAATGAGTAGCAGACTGTGACAATATACCTGATCCTGCATCTATTCCCACAGCAGCTGGTGAAGTAATTTGAGGCAACTGTTCATTGGGAACAATTGGAGAAGTACCACGACTGGGTGCATTATTACCGTTACTCATACATCTGTTAGACAAGCCAAATACTCTGGTTTGATGACATTTTTGCTCTTCTACATCTGTATCAAAAGTCGCTTTCTGCAAAGACTTTGGTGAATTAGGCTGACTAGATGCCAGTGGTGACTCTTCGGATGGTACTATATATGGAAATGCTGTATAGTGAACATTATTGCCATTTAATCTTTTACTCATATCACCATCATTAGAAGGTATTATAATTTTAATTTTTAATGAAGGTACTTTAGGGCCACCTCCAAGACTGACAGCATTAGAAGGCCTCGAACCACCAGACTTATCATCATCACTATAAGGTTTAGGACTAAAAGCCTCATTTTCACCTAAAAATAAATTCAAATATATAATACTTTTTCTTATATAATAAAATAGAGATTTGTGCTGAGTTGAACTATCACTGACTGATCACTTTTAGGTTCCAAAAACAAATCAACAGTTCAATCTCACAAAACAGTAATATAGTATATCACATATTATTATATGAATAATATGATAACTTATAATTAAATCAAAATACCAACATAGTTCTATTTTCCTACAGTATCTAAGTTCATTCTACAGATCATATATACACAGATCGTATATATTATACTATGAAAAATATTATTATTACTAGTGATTAAAGAATCAGATAATGCATATCAAATTTCTACAACTGTTTACTTAGCTAAATATTTGTAATATGTAAGAATGCATTTTAATTAAAAAAATTAAGCTTATCTTAAGTTTTTTTTTGAATTTATTCAATATTTTTCTAGCGTTAAAGAAAAAAAAAATGGACACAAATTTTGAACATTATAATTTTGCTTTATGTTTTCTAATCATTCATACATGAATATTTTTATAAATAATTTGAGATGATATTAACCATATGTAAAAATGTAAAGTGAATTTTATAGAATACAAATTGTTTGATATATAGTTATATCCAATATGGCATAAAATTTTATTTTATTTCATTTTAAAAATATTATGACTCTGTACCATTGTAAGCTAGTACATATAAGTTGTTTGATAAATTTGAATATTGAAGGATCATTTTAAACCTATTGATAAACATGTATTGTAACAATAAATGTACAAAGTGACTTATTAAATCATAATAAATCCAAAAAAAGCGAGTCACCTTTAGAACTTTGGTTATGATCTTCTTTGTGTTTTTTTGGTTTAACATCTTTGTTTTCTTCAATTAGAGGCCGTTTTAGGATAGCATCTGTTTCTTTTAATGGTTTTACAGTCGAATTGTTTGATGAGATAGTTACAGTATCAGTTGCTGCACCAGAGCCACCAACTCTGGGTTCAGTTTCCATAGTAGTACAAGCCAATGCATACCTCTCTACTGGTACACTAGTCGATACATTTGCTGACTGTTGGGAAACCGACTGGGTGGATATTTCTGGTTTTTCTTCAATTTCAACAGTATCCCTAAAAAATTGGTTGTATATGATGTGTAACTATCCAAAATATAAAATGTATTGTTTTTTTGTCTTATAATTACGTTTCATTTGTCATGATGAAGTTCTATTCCTCCTTCCTCGGCTGTTTTCTTGTTCTATTTAGACAAACTCTTATATTGATTATTGCCCGGGCTGGTAAGTTAGTGACACTTATCACTCTAGGTGATATTTGTTGTTGTTTAGCTCTGTTCACAGCATCTAAAATAAAAATAAACTATTAATAACAAAATAAAAGTTAGCGAAATTGTTAAATAATTTTTTAATAATAATTATTATTTAATACAATACGTTTCACACAGCATTCCACAAAACTTAAAAACCAATATGTTATTTTATTATTTATACAATTAATAGGTACCTATTTTATATTCGTTCAACAAAAAACTGATTAATATTGATAGAGATGTTAATTTTGAACTCAATGAAATAAAATCATAATATACAAAAAACAATTCCGATCAAAGACTGTATATTAGCAGGAGTGGGTATAAACCTGGGATGTAAGAACCTGGATAATACAATTTAGGGCGAGACAAAACTGGAATTGGATAGTTAAAAATCGATACAATTCTGGATTGTAATATTATGGAGTATAAAATTTGAAATTCATAAGAATCTGGACAATGACGTACTTGTGATAGTGTTGCATACTAAAACGAAGGATGTTTTTACGGCCGTAAAAAAATTAATATGATTTCTACTAAACTTTTTATTTTGTTAAATGTAAGAAAACATATGGGGGAATCTTTTATTAAATTCTCAAGACTTAGATATAAATAGACTATTTTGATGAATTTCTAACTCAAAATAATTTGCAACTTTAGAGATTTTGATGAATTTTGTCAAATTTTTAACTTCATCATAATAAATTACTATGAATTTAAGTTTAATTTATTTGATTTAAAATAACAACAAACTATGAAGAACTTTGTAAACATTTTCAAATTGCATGTATATAAAGTTATTTTTTAGAGTTACAATAAAAAACAAAATCGATATTTTCAAAAATGGGTTTAAAGTAAAAATGTCAAATATTCCTAAATATTTTGTTTGTTTGTTTCCTGACGCTTTTTTACTTAAGACCCCCCCCCCTCCGCTCTCAGATACCAAATAAATTCACTTTCCTATCAAAAAATATGCTGTTAAAGAAAATCGAAGCATTTTTAATGTTCCAAAAGGTGATGACACCCAAAAATAAAAAAACACATCATTGAAAAAACAATACACTCATCAGAATGTAAAAGCACAGCATGGATATTTTATAGAGGACTAATGATATTCTGAGACCAATCAAATACTAACTCCCTAAATATAAACTAGGTATTCCTATGTATAGTTTAAAGACATTTGAATGTATATTTATAAATGTGAAAATGGAAATTTTATCAAACATGTTGTCTCGGAACCACTCATTCAATAGTCATGCAGTTTATTTTGAATGGATGAGTATTTATAGAAAAAACAGTTCTAAGTGAAAACAGTAGGTCTGCGTATAGGCTATATTACTTAGTACATTTTATGATATTATTGTTTTTTAAGTAATTATTTTAATATTAATACCTACCAAATTCAGTAGGTTAAATTATTTTTTTCCAAAAACATTGAGTTTGAAAATATCATTGCAAGTAGAAAATACAATTCAGTGAAACCTGCTTTAGATACCTATAAAACAGACATCCCTCTTAACGGACAATATCTTAAAATCCAGACAAAAAGGTAAGCATGACCAGAAACTTGTCTATAACATACTCTTTTGATGGTCACACAAGTGTCCCTTAAAGGTAGGTTTAACTGTAATATATTAATTGCATTAATTCCAGAGAAAGATATAGACTAAGTGCCTAAGCAAAATTAATCTGCTTGGAAACAATATTGCTAGCTTTAATTTTAAATTGTATGATTAAATCAAATGTACAGTACATTGGTGTTGCAGTAATTTGTTTTGGATTTCTTAATACAGTTTCAGCACCATAGGCATAACTAGGCCTTTAAATTAGGGGGAGTGGGCTAGTCTTAAAATATTTTGATAAAAAATAAGTTTTGGAACAGGGTACATGGCTTAAGAATAAAATATAGGTAATGATTTATTCAAACTGTTCTTTCGGATAATTTATTTTTTTATAATTTTATATTTAAGTTTTATAAATTGATCTGTAGAGTCTAGGCTGATAAATTGATAACAATGAATAATAATTTAACATCCTTATGTGCTTACTTTTTTAACGCTATTAAACAAATAAATATACTAAAATACATTACAAAAGTATAGTGCATATCACAAAGCAGGAGTGGTGGAAAACCTATTGCAAACGTGCCAACATTAACCAAATTTTCCAAAAATGTTTTATTTAATTATTTAATCATAAAATTATCTATTATGTCTAAAAAATAAAGCCATCTATTATAAAAATTTGATAATCACTGTTTCCAGACATAAAACGTTGTACTTTAAAAAAACGTGGCTCATTCCAAATAAACTCAATATGTGAGTTTATTTTAAACAATTAATTATTTCAAATCATAACATAGCAATAATACATTATTGAATGAAGCAAATGCTAAAGATTTCATTAAAACATTAAAATTAAAATAATACACAACACATATTAAACTAATTTCAGTGAACTTTTTTAAAACCCCATTATCCTGAAAAAAAAATGTTTATTTACCTGTTAACACATAATAGGTACTGGCACAAGAATTTTTTTCAGAACTTTGATTACAAAATGTTACACATGACTAGAAGAATGATTGCCATCCCTGTTATATAGTATATTAAATATAAATGAATCTATATTATAGTTTAATGTTATTACTTTTTGTCTTTTAATGTATTAAAAAAAATTGTTATTTATTTAATTTATCTAATTAATGGTTCATGGTATCTTAATTGCAATTTTTAACAATTTTAACTTTCAAATTTTCAAATTCAAAAGATCGCCAATAAATTCTGTTGTGAAATTGCTTTATACTAAATTTATATGTATAGCCACGTCAAAAATACTCTATTAAGTATTGGCTTATTTATTATAAGCTTTCAATAGACAATCCTCTAAACTCTGAAAAAAACATGTTAAAACAGTACAATTGTCTAAATATGTGGGAAAAAATTGAATGATTGTGAAATATGGAAAAACATGTATTTATACCAAAGTATGTAAGAATTTGTAAAATCAAATATAGCTCATTTTACCAAAAATCTTGTGTAACGAATAAATCACTTCCCAAAATTAATTTAGGTTTCAAGTCATAGTGAAAATATGTATTAACATAAAAATCCAAGCCTTAGTTATTTGTTACAATAAAATATGGAGTATTAAACAAAAAATAAAATTGTATAATAATTCAATTTGATCGCTAGTGATGATGTTATTTGTTGTTGCTGTTTATTCCAACCCAAACAGATACCAAGGATATTTTTTCCGTATAATTTTCCCAAACAAATATCCAGGAATGCATTTACAACATTATTACCAAACGTTTTAACCTCAAATACATCAGAGCTTAGCTTCTGTAATGTTCTAAACATTAGGTATTTAGGTACCACATTTTAAGATTTATAATATTATATTACACTATTTTAAATATTTACACCAATGTAATCAATAATCAGTTATTAGGACGTCCATTACAGTCACTGGTTGGATGTCAGTCATGTTTTAAACAGGTAAGAAAATACATCTATACTCAATAATATTTGATTTGGCTACCTACATCAAATCATATTATAGTACTAAGATAATAATACGTAGGTACTTACCGACGAGTATAGTAGGTATGATGGTTGTTGTAACATCGGGACGGTTTAAGTAGGTACGATATTATGTAAAACAAAATAACTAATAAGCAAAGGCGTAGCTACTAGCTGTTTTGAAAAAATGAAAATATTCGATCGGAGTTATGATAGCTGGACTTACGTAGGCATTATTATTGATCGTATTGACGCAGTAAGTATAATATTATATAATTATAGTATATAATACATAAATTGTACCAACTTCGAATTATATTTAGTGGGTATCTCTAACATGATGATAACAACATGTCAACATCTGTAAAAAAAATGGATAACAAAAATGTTATAGTACAGTCAGCGAAAGGTGAGCCGTGACGGTTGTCCGTTACGTTCCAAGTGGTGTATTTACGTAAGCGTAATCGCGTATCATATTGTGGAAGTCCTGATTAAATTCGACCACCAGGAGCATCGGTATCGCGGCTCACTATAATAACTCTAATACTCAAGGTTATTATTATTTCGAACTTTCGAAGTACCTAAACAGAAAAACTTAAATCATTATTTATTGCGGTTAGCGGGTTAGGTATAACTTATAATTTTCCAAAATCATCCCATCGGTTTTTATTAAACAGAACAATATTACTATTGAATGGAGAGGCCGATAGACGGTCGTCTAAATTAAATCGTAATAATATCATATTGTTATTATTATTATTATTATTATTCTGCGTAGTTATGAAAACCTCGGCTGCCGTTATCGTCGATCATCATACCTGCACACATATGTTGCAGGGTTCTGTCGTAATCCGGCTACGATCATGATCTATGGCAAAAAAGAACGCGTTGGCAACTTGGCTTTGATTTTTCATCGTCATGTCAACACGAAGACACATTTTACATTATCAATTCGTTTTTATTTTTCTCGTACCTATAATATAAAATAATATTATGTAAACGCTTTAGTCGCGAGTAGCTTGAATTTTTAAATTCTGAGTGGAACGATGAATGTACCTATTGATTTTACAATGATGTGTCTTTTTTTTATTTTTATTTTTTTTTTTTGTGTCTGTCATCGCCTTTTAGGACAGTAAAACTGCTTCGATTTCCTTCAACAGCAACTTTTCTGATTGTAAAGTGAATCTTGTTGGTACTTTGGGGAGTCAAAAGTAAAAATTTCTCAGTAGTTTTCAAAAGCGACGTGAAAAACAAAAGAAAAATTAAGGAAAAACGGGAATTTTTACGCAAAATCGATTTTGGTTTTTGGTGTAACTCTAAAACAAATGGCCGTAGATATATGAAATTTTCACAGGTTGTTTATATTTGCATTTTCTATACACGGTAAAATTTTGAAAATAATTTGACTCTTTTTAAACTGTTTACGGACATTGTCAGTTTTCAATTTTTTTAATTTTTTTTTTCTATAAATATCAATACAATTTTATTTGTTGGTTAAAAAAACTTGAAAATTTAATACGAGGCTCCTAGTATATTGTTTCAAAGGCAGATGAAAAAAATTAAAAATCCTTAGTCACAGTTTTTTTTTATAAGCATTTAAAGTTCAAATATTGACAAAATACGTAAAAACGACGAAAATTTGGAAATTATTTTAAGTTAGAAATTCATAAAAAATTTTCTTTTTAAATCTAAGATTTTTAAATTTAATACAAGATTCCTCATAAGTTTGTCTACCTCTATAAATACCAATAAAATTTTATTTTTTGGGCGAAAAAGCTCGAAAATTTAATACAAGGCTCCTGATATATTTTTACAATAGCAATAATTGTAAAATATTTAAAATACATAGGCACAATTTTTTTTTTATAAGCATATAAAATTCGAATTTTGACTCAGATATATTGGTATTAATATGTCTTAAACCAAGACTGACATACCGTCTCCACTCAGAATCGTTTTTCTTATATAATGATATTGTATCATTGAATTCAAATTTAATTCCATCCATTATACAGTGACCCACTTGTAACCTACTGTACAGCAGAGCGACATCCACTTACCCGCTTTTTTCAAAGTTCCTCTTGCCCCGAGTTTTCACGGAACTGATTTGACATTTTCTTAATTAATATTATTTGAGACGATCGTAAAATATGAGTAATTAGACGCCTTTTGTTTGGTAATAAGAAACAAGTAATCGTTATTATAAATTATACAGCCGCGGTATAAACACGGACTTTCGAAAATTGAAAACTGATTAGTCCGATATTGTTATAGCTGAAACCATGATAAATAATAATTTAATATTATAATGCGTCATTTCGTTTTTTTTTTCTAAGAAGTAAGAACTAATTTTATGTTTTCATGACTTTATTTTGTACACGGACATTATTAATTAGGTACCAATAACACCATTTTTTAAGTTTTCATTTCAATACCTAATCACTAATTTTCGAGTGATACGTTAAGTACTTAAGTGAAAAACCACAATATCTAGTGTTATGGTTGTATTGTATTTGAGTATTTCATATTAAATGATGTTGCAGCCGTAATATGATGAACGCCAACCGTGTATTTCCAAATATACATTATTAACTGTAAAGTCTCAAAATATGAACATCTGCACAATTTATCTGATTTTTTCCAATTTATTAAGTATTAATTGATTGAGTAGATTGGGTATTTACTAATTAGTTAGGTTTAAATGAGCAACTCGACCTGCTTTGAGATAATATTATTATACACTGTCGTGCCGCACTGCCACCGCTATATTTTTATACTTAACCTCGCCTCGATAGTGGCATTTGCAGTGGCGTATTTACGGGGGGGGGGTCGGACCCCTCACTTTGACTCGTATCTCGTACATGTTAAATTTTGTGTTTTAACATGATTAAGAAACCCAAGTTTAATCATATGATACAAAGGATTTTGTAAAAAATGTTTAATTAATATCGTGATTTTTTTTATCAATTTACAATACCAGTATCTGCAGCTACCCCAAAAATATGTTTTTCAACCTTATAAGTTGAAAACTTATCTTCGGTCAACTATGAATGAAGTTATTTAGGACATGTTTATTAAAAAAGTTATAACCAATAAGCTATGCGGCATATTTTTAATTTGTTTTGTATTTAGGATAGGCTAATTTGGACTTCCATTGATGTATATTCATCGGAATATACTTATATACCTCTCAATGTGGATGCAATTAATTATAAAATGGCGCCAAGTCCTGGACGATTAGATATTTTTTTCATTTTTGTAGTCTCGCAATAAAATGATTTTTAATTGCAATAAATAGTTAACAGTTCTCATATGTTTTTCATAACACTTAAATATAAATTTTAAATTGTAGTAATCGTGAATAAATAACTATAGGTACCTATGTCAGCAATTTATTAGTCAACTAGTGAACTGCTTACATAATTAGCAAGTTAATCGTGGTTTTATTATTATTACAAAGTTTACGATACAAATTTAATATTTAGACTTATACTATAGCGAGGAGCTATATTGTAATTGGTGTGGCGGGAACGCATTTTATTCGGCGGTATTAAAAAGTTAGTACATGCTAGTATAAGTGCGAAACATGAATTTACATTGTACATAATTTATAATTCCTAAATAGATACATCGCATAGGTACATAATATTATTCTGTACTATAGGCACCCTTTGCCCCTAGGTGCCTAATGCCTAGTGCCTATATAATATTATATGGTAGGTGGTATAAGTGCTATCGTTCGTGTACACTCGGCTGCGAGTTGCGACAGCCAATTAAGTGATTATACAATAAATGCAGCAAAGTTTATTGCGATTGTCTAAACAAGTATAAACAAACACAATATAGACAATAACGATAATAATAATATCGTACAGCTATGACCACGGAGATGGTATAATAAGTCCGGCTATAATAGCTGCAGATAGGTACCCAACTATTTGATGATTACGATAACGACATAATAATATAATATAGGTAACAATTAATAACATACACGTGTAAAACGCACTACGCAGAATGAAAATCTGATATTACGATGTGGATTGTGATGTCCACAATA